CTGTGGGGTGGGTGCAGCTCTCTTCTGGGCTAGCTGCCAGGTGGAGCCCACCACACAGACAAGGGCTACCCAACCCCTCCTCATGGGTGTCCCTGGGGCCAGGTAGCCTGAACCCATCTTGTCCGGAGCCTGCGGCCGGAGGGCTGCGGGAGCGGGAAGGGCTGCGGGGAGCATCCACCGCACTGAGACAGGCGTTCCTCGGGGTCAGGATGTGTCCCCGCTGGCTGTCCAGAAGGCGAGCTGCGAGGCCCCCAGACCTGGCCGGCCCAGCTGTGGTTCTGATCTCACTCAAGTGCTGGGGTCCCCATCGCAGGAGACGTCCAGTGTCCTGAGTGCTGGACTTTGAGGCTGACTGCTCACGGAGAGCCCAGACGCAGGCGCCCTCCCATGGCCGTCTGCCCGGATGCCGGCCCAGCCCTGGGCCAGCAGGACTCTCCCGGGGTGGGTGGTCCCCGCAGAGCCCTGGGCAAAAGGACTCACAGACTCCCCAAGTCCCCAGTGCTGTGGTGGTCCTCAGCAGCGCCCACCTCCCCCAGGCCCTGGCTCCTACCTGGCCGGGGCCACAGCTCTCGATCCACAGGCACACCCTCCACCTGGACACGAGCATTTATAGCCGCGCTCTGCAGCCGCCAGGAGCTGGCAAATATTTGGCAACAGCATTGTCATCGCAGACTGGGCAAATAGAGCCCGTTTGCTTTAGCGCCCGGCAACCAGGGCCCCGAGGGGGGAGCACACCCCCGGCCTCACCTGCACGCAGCCTGCCGGGGGACTGTGGAGTGTTTGTGCGGGCGCAGCTGGCTCGCCCCCGGGCCCCGGGACCCTTATCTCTGCTGCTGACTGGGGCCCGGACCCAGCCTTGTCAAATAGGCGGAAAATTAAATTTCATGCTATTTTGAGTTCTGGAGTAGGCCTCTCTAGAGGGCATCCTGCCTTCGCAGCCAGCGGGGTGAACAGTGCTCCCGGCCACAGGAGGACCCTGGGGAAGGGGGAGGGGAAGGGAGCGAGGTCCCAGGGACCCCCAGCCAGGGCCCGACACCTGCCCAGCTCCCCTGGCCATCGGGACCTCCTGGACAACCGTGACCATCTCCACTGGTCCAGTGGTTACCGGGACGCCTCTGGGCTGCCGCCGTCCACCTGCCCAGAGCTCAGAGGTGTTTGCAATTGATCGTTAATGGAGGAACCCCCTGCTTCCCCAGGCTTCTTCCCGGGGGCCTTCCTTCCTCAGTTGCAGCCACCCCTGGGGTGGGAATGGGGGGCTGGGAACCCTCCCCTCACCTACTGCTCCCAGGAAAGCCTCTCCCAGAAGTGTCCCCAAGGGCTTCTGCTGTTCCCGCTGACTCCCTGGCTCCTCCTGGGTGGCCCCAGCTGGTCCGCTGTGGGGCCATGTTAGTTTCCTGCGACTGCTGTGGCCATGACCACAACCCTGGCGGCCTGGAGCACAGGGCGGGAGGCCAGAGGTCGGGTCCAGGGTCCCCAGGAGTGGCTCCTTGCCTCATGGTTGTGTCTCCCCAGTCTCTACCTCTGTCCTCACAGGGTCCTCCCTGTGAGTGTCCTCTGCCCTCCTATGGGGACCCCGTTCCTGGATTTAGGGCCCACGCCCACCCTTTGTGCCCTCAGCTTCACCAGTTACACCCGCAGGGCCCCCATTTCCAAATGAGGTCCCACTGGGAGACTCAGGGTGGATAGCATTGTGGGGACATGGCTCAGGCCGCACAGGCACCGCCCACATGTGACTGTCCCTGACCTTGGCGTTCGCTAGGTGTGCCCCTGCTTGGCACTATGCTCCCCAGAGCAGCCCCCAGTGGCCCAGGTTGGGAGCACTCCACAGTGTCCTTCCCAGGGACTCCGGCTCTGAGGACGGGACAGCAGCCCCAGCCTGGCCTTGGCCCCAACACTCCCTGTCCCGAGCCCCCAGCTCCTGGGCCTTCACCTTCCAGGGGCCAGGACGGTTCTAGATGCCACCCCCCACCCCAGTCCTCACCCCTACGCTCCAGGCATCCCCCAATCAGGTGGTAGACCAGCCCCTCTCACCTAGTGGCATCCAATACACAGGGATTTGGACACGGGCCCAGCCCTTTGCTGTACCTGGGGACCTGTGGCTGACCTGCCCCGATTTCTCGGGCACCTAGAAGGCAGGAGATCCCAGAGGGCCTCAGGCAGCCAGTGTAACCAGTCAGTGTCCGGGGGCTGCAGTCAGGACCCCTGGCTTCGAGGGAAGGGACAGGAAACGAAAAGTTCAAGCTTAAGAGTGAGATCCTGCAGAGGGCAGGCCGGCGGCCTCCACATGGTTCTCATGGTGAGAGGTGGGGTCACCTGCAGGTCCCAGGAGAGGCTGCTGGGAGTGGGGACAGGGACGGCATCGGCACAGCTGCCAGTTACGGCTTCTCCTTACTGCTCCTTCACAGGCAGAAACCGAGCCCACGCCCTGGTGAGCTCACAGCCCAGGTGACCCCACAGCCCAGTGAGCCCGTCCCCAGGTGAGGTGCATCTGGCCATACTCAGCCCTGAGCGTCCAAACCATGTAGGGGCCTCTGTCCCTGGCTTCATGGGGGCTGCCCTGAGACTCCAGGGTCTGAGGATGCTTTACCAGCCTCACCAGCCCCCCTCTGATCCAGCCGTCACTGAGGACCTGCGGCTGCCCGGGGTTCAGGGCCCTAGACTCCCATCTCTGACCAGATACAGCCCCTGTCCCTCCCGATCTGGGGAGCTTCCAGCCTGGGGCCCTGGGTGCGTCCGCCCTGGTCT